CTCGGGTCTCCCACGTTAATCGACCTTGTGTCATATCTTGATTTAGTGGGAATCAAGTAAATACCATTCTGCCCGGCTTTTTTTTTTGGCTGGGGTTTTGACAATTAATGGATCGTTTCTTGGTGGAAGACTGAGATTCGATCAAGCTTTTGACTTGGACTGGCTTGGCCTGGACCTGTAGGCAATATTGGGAAGTTATGACCAGCTTTGACAAGTGACCAATATTTTGACCAGTGGCCTATGTGGAAAACACTCGGGGTCTCCACGTTAATCGACCTTGTGTCATATCTTGATTTAGTGGGAATCAAGTAAATACCATTCAGCAATGTTCTATTCTTCCCGGCCTTTTTTTGGCTGGGGGTTTTGACAATTAATGGATCGTTTCTTGGTGGTGGACTGAGATTCGATCAAGCTTTGACTAGCTTGGACTGGCTTCGGCCTGGACAAGTTATGACCAGCTTTGACTAGGCTTTGACCAGCTTGGACAAGCTCTGACCAATATTTTGACCAGTGGCCTATGAGTGGAAACACTCGGGTCTCCCACGTTAATCGACCTTGTGTCATATCTTGATTTAGTGGGAATCAAGTAAATACCATTCTGCCCGGCCTTTTTTTTTTTGGCTGGGGTTTTGACAATTAATGGATCGTTTCTTGGTGGAAGACTGAGATTCGATCAAGCTTTGACTAGCTTGGACTGGCTTCGGCCTGGACCTGTTAGGACAAGTTATGACCAGCTTTGACTAGGCTCTGACCAGCTTGGACAAGCTCTGACCAATATTTTGACCAGTGGCCTATGAGTGGAAACACTCGGGTCTCCCACGTTAATCGACCTTGTGTCATATCTTGATTTAGTGGGAATCAATTCTGCCCGGCCTTTTAAATGGACCATTCTTCGGCCTGGACCTGTTTTTTTTTGGCTGACCAGGGGGTTTTGACCAATTAATGGATCGTTTCTTGTGTCATATCTTGATTTAGTGGGAAGATTCTGAGCCTTTTTTTCTGGGGGATCAATTAATGGATCGTTTCTTGGTGGTTGACTAGCTTGGACTGGCTTCGGCCTGGACCTGTTAGGACAAGTTATGACCAGCTTTGACTAGGCTCTGACCAGCTTGGACAAGCTCTGACCAATATTTTGACCAGTGGCCTATGAGTGGAAACACTCGGGTCTCCCACGTTAATCGACCTTGTGTCATATCTTGATTTAGTGGGAATCAAGTAAATACCATTCTGCCCGGCCTTTTTTTGGCTGGGGGTTTTGACAATTAATGGATCGTTTCTTGGTGGAAGACTGAGATTCGATCAAGCTTTTGACTAGCTTGGACTGGCTTCGGCCTGGACCTGTTAGGACAAGTTATGACCAGCTTTGACTAGGCTCTGACCAGCTTGGACAAGCTCTGACCAATATTTTGACCAGTGGCCTATGAGTGGAAACACTCGGGTCTCCCACGTTAATCGACCTTGTGTCATATCTTGATTTAGTGGGAATCAAGTAAATACCATTCTGCCCGGCAAGTAAATACCATTTTTTTTGGCTGGGGTTTTGACAATTAATGGATCGTTTCTTGGTGGTAGACTGAGATTCGATCAAGCTTTGACTAGCTTGGACTGGCTTCGGCCTGGACCTGTTAGGACAAGTTATGACCAGCTTTGACTAGGCTCTGACCAGCTTGGACAAGCTCTGACCAATATTTTGACCAGTGGCCTATGAGTGGAAACACTCGGGTCTCCCACGTTAATCGACCTTGTGTCATATCTTGATTTAGTGGGAATCAAGTAAATACCATTCTGCCCGGCCTTTTGGCTGGGGGTTTTGACAATTAATGGATCGTTTCTTGGTGGAAGACTGAGATTCGATCAAGCTTTGACTAGCTTGGACTGGCTTCGGCCTGGACCTGTTAGGACAAGTTATGACCAGCTTTGACTAGGCTCTGACCAGCTTGGACAAGCTCTGACCAATATTTTGACCAGTGGCCTATGAGTGGAAACACTCGGGTCTCCCACGTTAATCGACCTTGTGTCATATCTTGATTTAGTGGGAATCAAGTAAATACCATTCTGCCCGGCCTTTTTTTGGCTGGGGGTTTTGACAATTAATGGATCGTTTCTTGGTGGAAGACTGAGATTCGATCAAGCTTTGACTAGCTTGGACTGGCTTCGGCCTGGACCTGTTAGGACAAGTTATGACCAGCTTTGACTAGGCTCTGACCAGCTTGGACAAGCTCTGACCAATATTTTGACCAGTGGCCTATGAGTGGAAACACTCGGGTCTCCCACGTTAATCGACCTTGTGTCATATCTTGATTTAGTGGGAATCAAGTAAATACCATTCTGCCCGGCCTTTTTTTGGCTGGGGGTTTTGACAATTAATGGATCGTTTCTTGGTGGTAGACTGAGATTCGATCAAGCTTTGACTAGCTTGGACTGGCTTCGGCCTGGACCTGTTAGGACAAGTTATGACCAGCTTTGACTAGGCTCTGACCAGCTTGGACAAGCTCTGACCAATATTTTGACCAGTGGCCTATGAGTGGAAACACTCGGGTCTCCCACGTTAATCGACCTTGTGTCATATCTTGATTTAGTGGGAATCAAGTAAATACCATTCTGCCCGGCCTTTTTTTTTGGCTGGGGGTTTTGACAATTAATGGATCGTTTCTTGGTGGTAGACTGAGATTCGATCAAGCTTTGACTAGCTTGGACTGGCTTCGGCCTGGACCTGTTAGGACAAGTTATGACCAGCTTTGACTAGGCTCTGACCAGCTTGGACAAGCTCTGACCAATATTTTGACCAGTGGCCTATGAGTGGAAACACTCGGGTCTCCCACGTTAATCGACCTTGTGTCATATCTTGATTTAGTGGGAATCAAGTAAAAATACCATTCTGCCCGGCCTTTTTTTTGGCTGGGGGTTTTGACAATTAATGGATCGTTTCTTGGTGGAAGACTGAGATTCGATCAAGCTTTGACTAGCTTGGACTGGCTTCGGCCTGGACCTGTTAGGACAAGTTATGACCAGCTTTGACTAGGCTCTGACCAGCTTGGACAAGCTCTGACCAATATTTTGACCAGTGGCCTATGAGTGGAAACACTCGGGTCTCCCACGTTAATCGACCTTGTGTCATATCTTGATTTAGTGGGAATCAAGTAAATACCATTCTTCCCGGCCTTTTTTTTGGCTGGGGTTTTTGACAATTAATGGATCGTTTCTTGGTGGAAGACTGAGATTCGATCAAGCTTTGACTAGCTTGGACTGGCTTCGGCCTGGACCTGTTAGGACAAGTTATGACCAGCTTTGACTAGGCTCTGACCAGCTTGGACAAGCTATGACCAATATTTTGACCAGTGGCCTATGAGTGGAAACACTCGGGTCTCCCACGTTAATCGACCTTGTGTCATATCTTGATTTAGTGGGAATCAAGTAAATACCATTCTTCCCGGCCTTTTTTTTGGCTGGGGGTTTTGACAATTAATGGATCGTTTCTTGGTGGTAGACTGAGATTCGATCAAGCTTTGACTAGCTTGGACTGGCTTCGGCCTGGACCTGTTAGGACAAGTTATGACCAGCTTTGACTAGGCTCTGACCAGCTTGGACAAGCTCTGACCAATATTTTGACCAGTGGCCTATGAGTGGAAACACTCGGGTCTCCACGTTAATCGACCTTGTGTCATATCTTGATTTAGTGGGAATCAAGTAAATACCATTCTGCCCGGCCTTTTTTTGGCTGGGGGTTTTGACAATTAATGGATCGTTTCTTGGTGGTAGACTGAGATTCGATCAAGCTTTGACTGGCTTGGACTGGCTTCGGCCTGGACCTGTTAGGACAAGTTATGACCAGCTTTGACTAGGGCTCTGACCAGCTTGGACAATATTTTGACCAATATTTTGACCAGTCCCACGTTAATGACCTTGTGTCATATCTTGATGGAAACAAGTAAATACCGGGTCTGCCCCCACTGGGGGTTTTAATCGATCCTTGGTGGTCATATCTTGATTTAGTGGGAATGACCAGCTTTGACTAGGCTCTGACCAGCTTGGACAATGACCATTTTTGACCAGTGGCTTTTTTTTGGCTGGGGTTAATTTTGACAATCTTGATTTAATGGATCGTAAATACCATTCTTTCTTTTTTTTGGCTGGGGGTTTTGACAATTAATGGATCGTTTCTTGGTGGAAGACTGATTCGATCAAGCTTTGACTAGCTTGGACTGGCTTCGGCCTGGACCTGTTAGGACAAGTTATGACCAGCTTTGACTAGGCTCTGACCAGCTTGGACAAGCTCTGACCAATATTTTGACCAGTGGCCTATGAGTGGAAACACTCGGGTCTCCCACGTTAATCGACCTTGTGTCATATCTTGATTTAGTGGGAATCAAGTAAATACCATTCTGCCCGGCCTTTTTTTTTTTTGGCTGGGGTTTTGACAATTAATGGATCGTTTCTTGGTGGAAGACTGAGATTCGATCAAGCTTTGACTAGCTTGGACTGGCTTCGGCCTGGACCTGTTAGGACAAGTTATGACCAGCTTTGACTAGGCTCTGACCAGCTTGGACAAGCTCTGACCAATATTTTGACCAGTGGCCTATGAGTGGAAACACTGGGTCTCCCACGTTAATCGACCTTGTGTCATATCTTGATTTAGTGGGAATCAAGTAAATACCATTCTGCCCGGCCTTTTTTTTTGGCTGGGGTTTTGACAAGTAATGGATCGTTTCAGACTGAGATTCGATCAAGCTTTGACTAGCTTGGACTGGCTTCGGCCTGGACCTGTTAGGACAAGTTATGACCAGCTTTGACTAGGCTCTGACCAGCTTGGACAAGCTCTGACCAATATTTTGACCAGTGGCCTATGAGTGAAAACACTCAGGTCTCCCATTCTGCCCGGCCTTTTTTTGGCGTTAATCGACCTTGTGTCATATCTTGATTTAGTGGGGAATCAAGTAAATACCATTCTCGGCAATTTTTTGACCAGGGGTTGAGCGACGAAACACCCCTCTCCCCAATTAATGGATCGTTACCATTCTGCAGCAGGCAAGGCCAGCAGCAGCAAGCTTAGAGCCAGCAGACTGGCAGTTCGGCCTGGACCTGCAGGAGCAGTATGGCCTTTTTTTTGCTTTGGGGTTTTGACTAGGCTCCTCTGACCAATTTTGACCAGAGCAGTCCGGCCCCTCAGCAGCAGCAGCCAAGGCCAGCAGCAGCAGCAGCCAGAGCCAGCAGAGCAGTTTTTTGGCTGGGGGTTTTGACAAGCCAATGGACCAGCTTGGTGGTGCAGAGATTCGAGCCAGCAGAGCAGCAGCCAGCACCTGCCAGGACAAGCATGACCAGCTTTGACTAGGAGACCAGCTTGGTCCTCTGACCAATATTCAGACCAGCAGCCAAGGCCAGTGGAAGCAGCTAGGGCCAGCAGACCTTGTGTCCGGCCTCCTCAGCTTTGTCGGGCCAAGGCCAGCAGCAAAGCTAGAGCCACCATTCTCCAGCAGACAAGGCCAGCATTCAGCAGGCCTCAGAGCAGTCCGGCCTTGAGCAGCAGCAGACAAGGCCAGCAGCAGCAGCAGCTAGAGCCAGCAGAGCAGTCCGGATCGTTTCCTCAGCAGAAGCAGCCAAGGCCAGCAGCAGCAGCTAGAGCCAGCAGAGCAGTCCGGCCTCCTCATCAGCAGCAGCCAAGGCCAGCAGCAGCAGCTAGAGCCAGCAGAGCAGTCCGGCCTCCTCATCAGCATCAGCAGCGCAGCATTAGCCTATCCTCGGTTACATGATATGCACTAGCCTATCCTCGGTTACATGATATGCACTAGTCTATCCTCGGTTACATGATATGCACTAGTCTATCCTCGGTTACATGATATGCACTAGCCTATCCTCGGTTACATACATGATATGCAATAGTCTGCCCTCGATTACATAATATGCAATAGTCCTTTTCAGGACTAACCTAGCCGCGTCCTTTATTTGGACTACGAAGCTGCGATCCTGCACGACAGTCTACCCAAGGACGAACTGACTACACCACAGCATTGTCCGCGTCGATCCTCTCACTCTGCAAGCGCCGACGCGCCCTTTACTCAAGTACAGACATCCAGGGATCGACTGGACCTCGAACATCGCTGTTCCATTCGGCCTACCTCCAAGCTGTCGCCTTGAAACCTGACAACGCTCCTTCAAGACTACACGACCGAACTACTACAAACGATTATCTGTACATATTCGTGCCAGATTTATTTAATAAAATTTGGCTTAAACTTTTACATCCTCGTTTTTGTTGTCCTTGCTTCGATCGTATTATCTTATATTATTTTTCCGTTTGCGGGGTTAACAGTCAACCTGCTTAGCACCCGCAACAAGGCCACGCTATAATATTTTAGCCTGGTCGCCGAACAAATACAAAATTAGCCTAATTAAATATTAAGCACTTTTATTCATATCGAGTACCTCATTTATGATACCCATTTTAAAAGTAACCTTCTGCTTTGAGAGTCCTGTATTGGTTGAACTGTACTAGAAAAAAAATTAACGGGCGCTTAGACATTAAAGAAACTCCCCGTCATTTAATCGGAGTCAACAGGCAAAGTTAGATGAATTGGAAATTCGATGAAAAATCGAGACATTCTAGACCACATGAGGCTACTGGATACTTACGAAGATGTAAAACAACCCCGGTTGACAGCTGTAACATATCTAGTGGGAACAAGCAAATGTGTATACCACAGTTTTATCTCGAACAAGAATTCAGAAATTAGTAACTGCATGTATTTATCAGGCCAAAACGAAAAGTGTCAAGACCCGCTGAAATAGGTTTTATCTGTAATTGTTGCAAGAGCAGATTTATTGATTAGAAGTTTTATAAGTCTTTGCTTCTTCTAACTCTGCATGAAGGCACGATTGTCTAGAAAATCTTGTGACACCCAAATAGCCTGTCAGCATCCACCGTTATCCATTTCTCGTGGTCGGCATTTCAGGAGAAGAGTTTTTCTTGACAATTGTTGCGTTAAACGGAAGCCAATTCGTCGAACTGTAAGATCTTTGGAAAACGATGGTTTCAATGTTTCTGACACTGTTGACGACATCGGTGATTAAATTGCTCAAACACAGTTAGAGAATGGTGCGACGGTAACTATTCTTTGAACTCTAGAAATGCCTCTTTGAAGCCTTGGAATAGTTTGCTTTGTTAACAGCAGCAGACGAGAAGTTTGTGGCGCCTTGAATGTAGAGCATGTAAAAATGTTCTTAATTGAAATCACTTTAGCTTTTATTGTGATATAATCTTTCACTGACCCAGCAAAGAACGTTCACAGCAAAGAATAATATTTGAAAGAAGTTTTGTTGGGTTTATTGCTTTTAGATTTCTTTCACATCAAATAAAAACATGAACATGATATTCGTGTTAAAGAAAACCTAAAGGAAGTGAGAAAAACAGCCTTAAAATAAAAACCACAAAAGATAAAACAGAGGAAAACGAAACAAAGAATAAAACACACACACACATGCACAAACAAACGCACGCAGTATATATATATATATATATATATATATATATATATATATATATATATATATATATATATATAAGTTACGTTAAAGACGGCTGACAAGGTACTGCGATTAAGCTTTTTATTCAATTTTTCTTGCATTCGTATAAGTATTTTCTTTTTGGGACGTAAAATGTGTAAAAACGGTCCAGATGTTTTATATAACCAAGTTCTTTCGGCTATTCTCTTAGCCATTATCAAAGATTTTTTATTTTGAATGGAATATGTAGATATTTGTTGAACCCGGTCAGTAATTAGATGAGAGACCATTTGAGAACTCAGAATACTGTAAGCCAACTCCTAAAATCCGAAATATATATTGGATTTAAATAACCACCAAAGGGTTGATAAGCCGTAAAAAAACGAATCAATCTCTGTATAAACACGTTTTCAGTAAAACATTTATTTTTTTCAAAGTTCATTTTATCATAATCCGAAGTTGTCTTGAATTTTCTACACAAGACATAGCTACAGAAAGTTTACCATGAGAGAAATATTTGAATAGTTTTAATTTTAATGACAATAATAATAATTTATGAAACAAAGTTACTACTTTTTAAATGTTTAAATAACTCAGTACAGTTTTATAAAATCTAATTAAACAGATCATTTTGACTTCTTTAGATAATTTTGTAATTTTTTCGACACTAATTTGTCGTAACGTGAAATGTCAGACGACAACAATAGTTACTGCAACAGAAAATAAAACCTTAACTAACGTTAAGGGCGCTGAAATTATATTTTTAAATTATTTACTTTATGTTCTCTTCTAAAGAAATACAATTTTATGTTTAAACCCTAACGTTACATTTATTTTGCGTTTTCTTTAAATGCAAGCACACTGATATTTTTCTGTTAACTTACCACTGAATTTTGACAAGGCAGATATAAATTATTTTATACAAACATCATCGGTTTAATAAAAAAATTACCGACATGTGTTATAAATGGCATTTTTTTCAATTTGAATTAAAAAAAATAAATAACTCACATGAAATATTTATTAAAATTTAATTTTAAAAATTATTATGTAAATTAAACATTACCGATATTTTTACGTCTTGTTTGTAATAAAGTTTTAAAATATAATATAAAAATATAATATAAAAAGCTGATGCTTATTCATCTTCGGGCAAACTACGCTTTATCTCTCAATTGTGTTTCTGCGTTTAGACAGAACACACAAAAAATCGTTAAAGGATGCTTGATTCTGGAGATTCCCACATTTCGGCAGCACCACCCCTCATTGCACCAAAAAGGAAGGGTCGGTGTGATATGCCAACAGCGCGATATTGGTTGCAGGAACTGAGCATTTTCTGGCCTTAGCCCATGTGCATGCGCCCGGACTCCCCACTCCCTTGTGCCATATCACGGATCCGCTGTGGAGATGAGTAAATACCAAATGCAATATCTGTTCTTCACCTATATTCGTTGAGTTCAAGAAAACGTTTTAAAAAATACCTGGTCTCGGGTATTTCAACCCTGCGGCGACATATCCCTCATTGCTCAAAATAGTTATGGTTAATAAAATAACGACACTAGTGTGAATGTGGCCGCAGGGACTGGGTAATTTTTGCATATAAGTCGGCCTTAACAATCAATTTTGATGATGAGAAAGAGAAATTTCCTGACAGCGAGTATGGAAAAGAATATTCTTCAGTCGGTGGAGCAAAATGTCATACGAAATTAAAAGGCCCTAGCAGGATTGAAATGCCACAGCCGCGCTGCCCATATTTGAGGATCAATCAAGCAATGGTATTACTCGAAAATCAATTCGTATCCATCATATATATATATATATATATATATATATATATATATATATGAGAAAGAGGATCAAACTCACTACTTTATCTAACGAAACTTGTTAACCACTACACCACGTCAAATTACCCCTGCTTTTCATACGCCTCCTTTTCGATCAGCATTCATTTATGTAGCTTCCTTGGGATAAACACAGAAGCAGCTTCTTTTTTTCTTTTTTTTTTTTTTTTTTTTTTTTTTTTTTTACTGGACATTTATTCGTAAAGGTTACTTCGTGCGTAATATGTAAAGATTTTTTAAATTGTTTCCTGTGCTTGTAAATAAAAAGACATTTCTAATTTTTAATATGTAATCTTATATCAGGATATAAACTGCATTGTGAAATAAAAATAAAATGTGAAAAATTAAATGAAAAATTGAGTCAAATTTTCTTAACGACGCCATAATTTGTAATTAAACTATTTCTAGTGGCACCATTTTTGAGAAAAGTTTGTTTTTTTTTTTGTTCTTTTCGCTTTTATTAATTTCCTTTCTCTTATTTTTTTTTTTCCCTTTCGCTTTTTATTTCTTCTTTTCAGTTTTTATTCCTTCATTTGTTAATGTTTCTTGTTTCTTTCTCTTTCATGTTTCTTTCTCTTCACTTTCTTTTAACTTTTTTTTCTGTTATGTATCATTTTAGCTCTTCGTGTCTTTTCTCTGCCACTACCTCCCTCTACCTCTCTCTCTCTCTCTCTCTCTCTCTCTCTCTCTCGTTTTTTCTTTATTGTCGGTTACCCTCTTACTCTCTATTTCATCCTTTCTCTTTTGTTTTCCTCCCTCTCCCTCCCTCCCTCTCTCTCTCTCTTTTACTCACTCTGTTGTTTTTCTTTATTGTCGGTTTTCCTCTTACCCTGTTTTAACTCGTCTACTTCCCTTTTTTTTCCTTTTTCCTTCTCTTTCCCTTTCTCGTTCGCTTTCTCTCTCTCTCTTTCGATTTTTCTTTATTGTTTTCCTCTTACCTCTTCTGCATTCCTCAGTTTTCCTCTCTCTCTCTCTCTCTCTCTCGTCTCTTTTTATTCTTTTCTACTTTCTTATATTTTGACTTGTTTTTTTTTCTACCACACTTTCCCTATTATGTATCTACCTCTCTCTATCCCATATTCAATCTCTCCTTCTCTAATTATTTTCTACCTCTCTTTGCCCCCATTTCTTCTCATCAACTCTGTTCTGTTTTTCTCAACCTCTCTTTCTTCTATTTTATTATCAAACATTCTCTCCATTTCTTTCAAACTCTCTTTCTCCTTCTCTTTTTCTACCTCTCTTTCCCACCAGGTCTTCTTTGTTTCTCTTTCGCCCATTTCATAACTACTTTTCTTTACCCCATTTCTTTAACTTTTTCTCTTTCACCAATTCTTCTATACCTCTCTTCTTTAATCTCTGTGCCTATCTTTTGGTCTTTCTTTTTCGTGTTCCAATAAACTGTCGCAGAAGTTCTCAGTCAATGCCGTTAGTGTTGAATAGCGATCCCTGACACTGTCATTTGATTCTAGAATGTATACACAGAGAACAACATGGACAGTTTCGTTTCAAAACACTTATCTCTGCGCTTCTATTAGGCAATGTTATTGTTAGATAATGACAGCTTGCCTATATCTGAGGACAAATGGTAAAGGTGAAAAGGTACAGTGAAAATTTTTAAAAAACAAAAAAAAAACATAAAGGACGGGAAAATCATTTGGGTGCGGCAGAGGATTTTTAGAAAACATGGCGGATCAAACTAAATGGCATCGCTAATAACAACATCTTTTATGTGCCGTGTCCCTTCAGGATGTTGGTGATCATGTCTCTCCACAATTTCCTGTCTTTTGTAGCTCTTAATAAATTTTGTCTTTTTGTTATCTCCCCTAAACTCTGTTCTGTCATCCATTTACACGGAATCGCAACGTAGGTTATACGTTTATTTCCTCTGTTCTTCTTGCCTTCAATCTGCCCTGTGAGTATCAAATTTTCCAAGCCCTTTTTCCTCATTATGTGTCCTAACGATCTCAACTGTCTCTTTCTGATGTTCAGTATGTGTCTTTTTTTGTTTCCATTTTCTCTAAAACTTCGTCGTTGCTCACATGTTGGGTCCATGGTATTTCTTCTGTAGAATCACCTTTCTGTTGCTTCATGTCTCCTCTTCGTCTTTGGAGAGATTGTCTAGCATTCACTGTCATATAGGAGGACTGATACCATATAACAGCTCAATATTATTTTCTTTGTTACTAACAAAATTTTTCTGTTTCTTAATATTTAGGACAATTATGGCTATCCAAATACACCTTCGGATTTCAGTGTTATACTTTCCGTCCTTTATTAAAATACTTCCCTGATATTTAAATTTCCCTGTTTCTTAATACTTTGCTTAGCTTTTGGAAGGCATCTTTCGCTATCCCAATGCGCCTTCGGATTTCAGTGTTACACGTCCTTTATTAAAATACTTTCCATATATATAAATTGTTGTATTTGTTTAATTTTGGTATCCCCAATTTGTAATATACATGTTAGGTTGTTCCTTTTACTGACAAACATTCATTCTGTTTTCTTGAAATGAATAGTCCTTTCTTCTCGCTTTCCTTCACTACCTTCTGTAGAAGTTCTTATAGTTTAGTTTCTATGTCTGCTATCAATATTACGTCATCTGCATGTATTATGATATTAAGATTGTGGCCGCCAATAATGAATCCTTGTAAGTTTTCTAGTTCTCTCAAAATCGACTAGCTGTTTAGGTTGAATAAGTCCGCTAAAAACACACTTGCTTGTCTTACACCCCTTTCATACTTTTGTATATTTACTGAATTCATGTTCTATCCATATGCAGGAGGCTTGCTGCCAGTATAGATTCTGGGTTATTCTAATATCCTTCTCAAATATGTCAAGGTTACCTAGCAGTTCCAACAATAAACATGAAACTAATTTGACAACATGTGATCTCCGTTTGGAATTTTTTATTTGTTTTTGACTGTTGAGTGATTAGTCAAACTCGAATTTGTTTTTCTTGTTTTTTCCCCTATTCGCAAGTTTTGTTTTCTTGTTTTGGGATATTGTGTTTTCATGTTTCACTTGTATATTTGTACCAAATTAAGCTCTGCCTATGAAAAAGTTCTCGGTCCAACCAAAAAGTCCATCCAAAAGAAATGTTTATTTGATCAGAATTTGTGAAGAACTTTTCAGCACACTTCTTAAAAATGTATATATGTAAATGTAGTTATTACTCCCTCTCTCGGAATAGATGTTTTATTTAGAAAAAAGTGCCGAATCATGAGTTAACGGAGCACTAAGTGCCGGATTAAAGATGTTGGACTGTATATATGAATTCGTCGCAGTAATTTTTCAGCACAACCGCCTTAGCGATTATATTTCCCACGTAGATAAAGATATTTAGGCTTATTTTGATGAGAAGACAGATGCTTTGGTGGGGAATTAACATGGATGAAAAAATTTAAAAGATGGTTTGCTAGAGTTGAAACGAAAGCAGACGTGCTGTAGCTTCATGTAACATAACCCTGATTATATTAGAATGCGCAATATTTCTGTGTTGGTTACACTTGCCTGTCATAATTCTGTTTAGGCTCCTGTAATGGTACTGACTGCAATGATTAAAAAAACTAAAATGTTTTTATAAAAACAAAACATTTTAACCGAAACCTTCGGAAATATTAAGACATTGGATTTGAAACATTTACTAGTCGTTCGTTCATGATTATCAAATGAAGAGAATTAAACGAGAAGAGAATTTGTAATATCTTGAATTCGATAACTCATCGTCAGCCATTATTAATATTTGACTAATTTTTTTTCTTCTCTTAATTTAACTTGCTTTATTTAGACTTAATGCTATCTTGAATTTGTTATTCGAAGAATTATCAGCTACTATTTGAGTAATAGTGTTTTTTTTTTTTACTTTACTATCAACCAATGACCCTCAGGCATCGATTAACTAACCCCTCTCTACTTTACTATTTAAACAATCTGTTTAATTGGCGGTTTTTTTTTTGGGGGGGTAGGTCAAAATAATCCTTTGAAGTCTTTGGTAAGTTCAATTTTGTACTTATTTATCTGGGCAATTATCAAATTTTATTAATTTTCCGTTATTCTTGTCATCACCGAAAGAAAAGCGAAAGCAATTAAATAAAAAAAAAATTCGATGCAAAAATATTTTTTCCTGTTTATGAAATTCGCCATCTTTATCCACAACCATCTTGCCGCATTTTTATTTGCTTCTGTACTTTTCTGGGTTGCTTTTTTTTTATAGTCTCCTTGTGTGTATTTTACAGAAGATACATACATCTGCAACAGTTAAGCAAAATTCTATTCATTATTGATATTTTAATCTTTTCATTTTATACGATTTCTTCAAGTTACAATAAACTCCACATGATTACTTACTTTGTCACGTTAGAAAATGACATGTCTGGTTCCAATGATATTCTTAAAATTTGTTCTTGGAATTTTAATTTTCGTTCGAGATCAACCTTTATCTGCTAAAGAAATTCTATTTTCACTTAAGGGGTGCTGCAGAAATCATTTCCCTTAAGAGGTTATTTCATAACTGTAAAGTAGAAAAGGAAGATCTCATTAGATAATGGGACTTCCATAGGCGACACTGAAAAGCACCTCCTCCTCCTGAGTAGCCAGGGGCCGGGCTTATTTTGGTATTTGTATCTCGTTGGTACGAGAATAAAGTAATTCAGAATTACTACTACCATTTTCGTTGAGTTTATTTTGCAGTAACGAGGAAAATATTTCCGAAACTAAATCCACTTTTACAACCAAATGCCTTTAAGGGTAGATGTAATTTATACGAAATTCTGTAGACAAGCGAACATTTAATTTTATCGTATGGCATATGAGAGACCCTTCGAAATAAATGCTTAATTTATGTTGGCCCACTACGTCAGATTTTTTAGGGAAATGAACTGAAAATTTCTACCATTTTTTTTTCTTTGCTGCAGATTGGATTTGAATGGCTGTCTGGCAAAATGGCGTCACCAAGAAAAGGTGTAAAAAATCTGGTTTGTTAGTGAATTCGTTTACGTAGCGGAGGCGGGGGGGATCACTCTTCTACACTGATCGACGCTTGATGAACATTTACCATCGAGAAGATTAAAAATCGAAAACATTTTCCATACATCTTGGATTTAGCTAAACAATAGACTACTTATGGTAATAATGTCTTATTCCCATTCAAGATACTTTAATTGGCATCTCACACACCTTATCGCCCTTTCCTCATTAAAAAAAACCGTGTACAAAGTCGATATTTCACCGTCAGAGATCGTTTAAATTTCATTTGACAAAAATCAACGATAATAGATCACCAGAAAAAAGTTTCAACTCACTACGCTACTATTTCGTGGAATATATTCAACAGATATCCTTCTTTAGCAGATATCAACACAAAATAACTGGGCCCGAATATGGCTTTTTGGAGCCATTACGTTAATGAAATTATACCCCACTCAGACGAAGCCACCCTGTAATTCGCCCGATCACTTCTTTTAATTGTGATATATTTAAGCAACATTTACATAGCTTGAAATAAATTTAATGCAAATTCTTTAAATAAACTAGAATATATCTTTTGCTTAAATATACTTTAACCCCTTCCACGGCAATTATTTTGGGAAAAACGTTTCATTTTCAGATGTATTTTATAATTTGTTTTTAATATAAAAACTAAGAAACCTAGGCACATTGAAGTACCCGAATCAGACATATGAGTTGACAATTAGACTCGTTTCAAACTCAGAAGGGCATAAGAAAGAATCAATATCGAAGCTGGGTTTTGGTTTATTATTGACGTGTTTATTCGTCCATGTTTGAAAAGAGACCTGAAAAGGGGTTAAGAAATATCGCTATTTATTACAAACTAAATTAATACATATTGCAACACTACCATAGTAGGAAAACAAATTAATCTCAAGCAAGGTGATAATGTCACTAGAATGTAGTTCAACATGGTATGAGAAACAATACTTTAATAAGGAAAAGAGTGCAGGAAGACAGAAGATGACTATTGACGTTGCATTTAAATATCTGAAGATTGTAAGTGGCAGGAAAGCAAGAAATCGGAAGGGAGTGTCACAGGTGGGAAGTGTATAACAAGTATTATAACAAAAGAATTATATTGATATCATTTCAATTTATGAAATTATTTAGAAGTTATAACATCTAGACAATTAAAATCATTGACCCTAGGCTACAGCCTATACTGGCCTGAAGAATAATCGGGCCCTTATCATTCCGGCATTGTCCAAAAAAAACCTCATCAGTCATCCCAAAGTAATGTTCTCGTTTATAATAGAAATATAATAGCCTCATCC